GGTGGATGGGAGTGTGCTCAGAACGGGTCGAAATCATTCCAAACGTGTGGTGTGAAGCAAATTTTGTTGAAGCTCACATGAGATGATATAGGCACTTTTCGTGGCAGGCGCAGGACTTTGTGCGGGTTTTGAAGCGTGGAAGTGCGATTTTCGTGGCAGGCGCAGGGAATCGTGAGGTTGCGAGGTGTGGCGGAGGTGACATTTCGTGGCAGGCACAGGACTTTGTGCGCGTTAGACGTGTGGACGCGGAAAGATTCGTGGTTGTGAGTTGTGGTAGAGGTGAATGTTGCTGTCACATTGGGATTGGGGCGAGCGGATGTTGTTTGGAGGGGCTGGAATCGCGAAACTGCTTGGCAGGGCTGCGCGATGGGTGTGCTCCGATGGGTGTTTCCGCTTGACTTTGGGAGGAAGTCTCGTACGAAACGCTCGTTTTGGAGCCTTGACGTGTGACTTTTGGAGGAAGTCTCGTACGAAACGCTCGTTTTGGAGACTTGACGTGTGACTTTTGCAGGAAGTCTCGTACGAAATGCTGGTTTTTGAGACTTGACGCGTGACTTTTGGAGGAAGTCTCATACGAAACGCTCGTCTTGCAGCCTCGCAGCGTGACTTTTGGAGGACGTCTCGGTGCCCAACAAGAGTGTCCCACAAGAGTTTCGCACAAGAGTGTCCCACAAGCGTGTGCCACAAGAGTGTCCCACAAGAGTGTCCTACAGGAGTGTCCCACAAGAGTGTCCTACAGGAGTGTCCCACAAGAGTGTCCCACAAGAGTGTCCCACAAGAGTGTCCCGCAAGAGTGTCCTACAAGACTGTCCCACAAGAGTGTCCCACAAGAGTGTCCCAAATGAGTGTCCCACAGGAGTGTCCCACAAGAGTGTCCCGCAACAGTGTCCCGCAAGAGTGTCTCACAAGAGTGCCCCTTAAGAGTGTCCCACAAGAGTGTCCCGCAACAGTGTCCCACAAGAGTGTCCTACAAGAGTGTCCCACAAGAGTTTCCTACAAGAGTGTCCCACAAGAGTGTCCTACAGGAGTGCCCCACATGTGTCACAAAAAGATTATGTTTGCGGTCATCGTGCTGAGTTAAACGTGTGATTCATTCGGGTTCGTGGGTTCCATCTTGTTCATCTTGTTCAATAGAAAGGGTGGCTCCGAAGCTGGCAACTCAAGCTTTGCGGAACGACGTGTGCGAGACGGTCTCGGGTCATGCTCGGATCATGCTCGGATCATTCTCGGAATCGTCCTTCCATAGTACGCGGAGTATCTGGGGAGCTGGAAGATGAGAACTGGCGACTTTCTAGTACAACTTCAGTACGCGGAGCAATCTGTGGAGCTGGAAGCTGAGAACTGGCGACTTCAGAGTGCAACTTTAGTACGCGGAGCATCTGGGGAGCTGGAAGATGAGAACTGGCGACTTTGTAGTACAACTTTAGTACGCGGAGCAATCTGTGGAGCTGGAAGCTGAGAACTGGCGACTCGCGGGGCAATCTGTGGAGCTGGAAGCTGAGAGCTGGCGACTTGGTAGTACAACTTTAGTACGCGGAGTGTTTGGGGAGCTGGAAGCTGAGAACTGGCGACTTTGTAGTACAACTTTAGTACGCGGAGTATCTGGGGAGCTGGAAGCTGAGAACTGGCGACTTGGTAGTACAACTTTAGTACGCGGCTGAGTCATCTCTCGCGGCTGCTCTGGCCCTGCAGCTGAGTCATGTCTCCCGACCAACCGGCTCTCTTGAGAGGTTGACAAATTTTAGCCACTTTGCTTACTCAAAAGTGGTCATTTCGATTACTTTCTGGAGACCTCAAAGCACGTGTTTCGAGAGGTTGACAAATTTGAGCTAATTAGCTTCGTGTCTAGACAAGCTATCACATCATAGTTAACGCCTAGCTCCAGTTAGCTTTAGTGGAGCTAGAGCTAGAGCTATGCTTCACTCATCACTCATCACTCATGCGTCTGATTGAGGGACACGAGGGACGCGCATGGTGGAAAGAACCGGGACACTCCTATGTCAATTTGTTCTTATAGGAAACCTGCGCCGCCGGCTTGCCCGAGAACTGCTTGTATATATACGGTATATGCATGTATACTGTAAAAATATGTAAACATATGATAGGTTATGTAAACATGTTCATCCACATTTCTGCTTACGTATGTGCCATACACACCGTTTGACCCTAAGCCCCAAGCTTTGAGCAGGTGGATTCTGTCCGTGCACTCCTTTCCATGATCAAACCCCCTCCGCGTGGCGGTCAAAACGATGAGGGGCCGGAGATCAGGGTATCCCATCGCATCCCCCTGTCCGATGCTTTGGTCACCCGGTCCGGTGATTCGAACGGTGATTCCGAGTTCGGGCGGGGCACAGGATGGTCCACACAGGAGGGTTCCATTTCGTGAACATTGAGTGCCTTTGGTGATGCGATCTCAATGCGCTCATCGATCCTTTCAGAGTCAAGTGGGCGGATTTGAACCATGTCCATCCCTACCACTATTGAACACTGAAAACGGGGTCCCCTATCAGGGGGCCCCAAGGGTGTTTGGACGTTACTTGTAAGGGGTGGTTTATGGTCACCCCTTACCACCCCCTAAGCCTAGGTCTCTTAGGTAATTTTGAGCATTTTGACACGCTTCCTTGATCAAAGCGCTCTTTTGCGTCTTTGGTGCGTCACGGTTTCAGGCTGTGCGTCACGGTTTCGAGTGCATTTCCGGAATTTGAGCATCCATAACTTAAAGCTGTAAGACTGTAAGACTCACCAGTTCACAACTGCCACGCATTTCCAGGCATTCAGGCGACGGGCCGATGATCAACTCAAACGCTGCACGGGACAACTGGTCGAAGAAATGGCTAAAAACAGTTCTCACGTATCTGACAACATCTGCTCTGGGACATCTGGTCGCGTGAAGGCGAAAAAGGTTCGGGTTCTGTTCTTGAAACAGAACCCAAGTGAATGCGGCCAGCGCAGTGCTTGGCGCAGGCCCCGCCCCTCAGCCATCTCTCAGCCTCGGTGCTGGTTTCTCACCCGGTTTTTCCCATCAAAGGTTTCCCATGGTTTCCCCTTGAAAAGGCTTTCTCTCCGAGATTGCGGGAAGGTCTTGGCTTCAGTCTGGTCCCAAAAGAAGGCTTTTTTACGGCTGCTCTGCTGCTTTAGTCTCAAGATGTCTCAAAAGCTTATATTATTGGTTTTGCAATGTTTTGCCCAACATCTGCCCCGGGGATGTCCCTTGCCAAATCCTATCACATTTCATACACGGAGCATTTGCACCATGTTGTGCCTGCGTTCAATGCAGTTTCAGGGGTCCATCGTTGCCAAATATATGCCCAAATCTACCCTGCAGCTGTTTGGGGCACGACCTCCTGGAAGCAATCCCGCCGCTTGAAGGCGCGACAAAAGGGTGGTCGAATCGAGCCATGCCGTGCGGCGACCGAAACACTCCGCCTGACATAAGGACTGAACCGCCAAGTCAACGCGCCATCTGTTTCTTCCAGCGCGGAGGAAGCGTGCGAGAATTTGGGCACTCGATTTCTACATGTGAGGAGGGGCTCCTTCCCTATTCTTTGGTCCCAGCATAGTCACTCAATAAATAGTCCAACTGTTCGGAATTGGTAGGATGGCGCACGGGTGGCAAAGGAAGCCCCTCCGAAATCCCGCTCAAGCCTGACGGCGGAAGCTTCAAGCTTAAATTCAGGCAGAAAAGCCAAGAGAAGGCAACGCCCTGAGAAAACTGTTGATATCATCAAAGGTGCTCCTTTTGCCAAGTGGTTTCTGTTTAGATAACGGGTCTGGGTGGCCTGCCAAAAGAAAGCCCAGCCACAAGGAGACAAGGATTTGTCCAGATTCACAAATGATCTAAATAGTTATGCAGTTACGCGTAACACAACTGACCGAGTTTTGAGAAATCAGCCACTCTTGACTTTCCCACAATTTCCGGTCCACAGCCGCACGTGGTTACACGTGGGTCCTGTGAACGATTGGGTCCTACCTGCGGGGTCCAGTCCTTGCAAAAGAAGGGTGGTGGATTCTCAGCGTCACGTGGACTCTTTGGGAAGTCAAGCATTCAACCGAAGACTTGGAAGTCTTCTTTGGACTTTGGAAGGGTGGGTTCTCGACGTTACGACTGAGTGGATCAGACTTGGAGAGTCCAAGTCTGATAGGTTCAGAAACAAAAGAAGGACCACACCCACTGAGGGCCATTTCCAGCGACCCACGCTGGGTCATTCCTAAGCAGCAAAAGGTGTTGAGGTTTGGGTCCCACCTACTCAAGAGTAGAGACTTACAGATCATCAACAGGCGACTGGAAATACCTGGTCAAGTGGGGATGCCTTTTTGGAGTGGAAACTTGAGTGGGGGAATAGCCCAAGTTGAGATGCCAAGCCTTCACGCTGAAAGGTCTTGAAATGTCAACAGGTATGACATGATGATATGGACGCTATAAAGCACATAACCTGTGTACATCTTACTTACTAGACCTTACTTCAACTTCAACACCTTCCACATCATCTTCGAAAGAGTTGCTGACAGCATGACATCGCACCAGTCAGCTATCAAATTACTGTATTCAAATCCCCTCTCTGCAACTGGCTGGCCTGGCACATTGAGCGCTGGGCAAGCGTGTTATGCGATTTTATCTTTAATTCACCCAATGCCAGCTAAGCGAGTCCTTTTTCAAAGCCAAGGGCAGTTTAATAAATGAAATTTGGCAATACAGTCATAAATATAATATAATATACAGTGACGCCCAAAGCCCAATGATACCCGATGTTTGGCCTCGCGCGAGCCAATGATTTCAGTATATTTCAGTGCATCTGCTGGAAGTAAGTAAGTGGGAAGCAAGTGGGGTCTCTTTGATATCTAGAGAAGCGGCTGACTCAGATAGCAAGGCATCCTGACTTGGAACAATGTGGCTAGGATTGACTCGAGTCATGGGACATTTCTTCTACTTCTTTCATCGTTCGTCCTGGTGCATGACCCTCGAGTCATGATGCTCCACCTCCAAGCCCACACCGCCTGCCTCAAATGGAGAGCATCCCAGGCTGCGGTGGCACCCAGGAGTCAAAGGCCCGCGCCGAGCAGCGCAGGAGCAAATGACAGCAGCGATTCCAGCGCTCCGGTTGATGCCGTTGAAGATGCATGCCTGGGGTGTAGCCTATAATACCAGCAAATGTGGATGATGATTGTTAGTGATGGCCTTTCTCTAATGCTTACTGACCCTTACAGTGTTACAGGTAGTAGGACACCCCCAATATACCTGCATGGTGGATGTGAGGCGATGGATGGCAGGGACCCTGACCCGCAGGGGGCCTGCAGGGGGATGCGATGCAATGGCCTCCAGCCGCTCTAGCCAAGAAATAAGGGAAGTGGATGGCATGGCCCCCCTACAGTATCGGCAAAATGATGGCTTCTGCAAACATGGGGGAGCTTCCACTTCCACCAACTCCTGCACCGACTGTGGCAAGTGATGATGGGGCTCGCATGATGAAGGAAACAGAACAACAGTTCAGGCATTGCAGCAAGTGCTGCAGCCGCGTGTCCATCAACTACCACCCAATATTGGCGACCAATGGGGGGAGTACCAATTCTTCACTACTGAGGAATGGGGACATCACGCATCATCAGTCTACAAATAAGAAAGCCGAAAACAATAAAACAAAAACGCCCATGAAAACATGACCTCAGTTGGCACAACAAGTTGTCGGCCCAGGCTAGCAAAGCTGGCAGTGTTGGGCCCACAGCCGCTGTCTCACCGACATGGAGGAAGGGTCGAGGCCGATCCTCTTCTTAAAGCTGGGGGTGTCTATGTCCAAGTTATCACCTCAACAGGGATAGGACAGGACTTTCTGGTCCTGGAGCAAAATAGTAACCCTGATAAAACAAGAAAATAATGAATCATGACGCATAGCAACATCCTGTGTGATGTAATATGTTCCCCACTTTCAGGATCCCAAACTGAAGAATCTAAACAAAAAGCACCACGAAAACAATCATGGTTTTCATAGGCTGAAGCCGCCATCTCAGACTATATAACACGATCGCCGCGTGGGAGGCCAACACATCCGCCCTCGGACGATATATCTGCAGGCTCAAAGCACTCACGCCCTCAACGTCGCGAAGGAACCTCGACGAAATGAGCGACGAAACTTCTAATCTCCCATGGAATCTTTCCACAACACTGGATCAAGTCCAAAAGTATCTGAAAACTCTATGAGGCTATGGGAAACTTGAAGCACGACAAGCGATCAAACTACGCCCTCCAAACCCAAGGATACTGTACATCTCTGCACCTCTCTCTCATCCACATGCCCACGAAGCACACACACACACACGTCACATCCTTTCTGCCACTAAGGCACGCTTCTTCCCTGGACGCGTCCAACGCGTCATTCCAACCTTCTCCGTCTTCTGCCGACTTGATGCCTGGCCCGTGGAGCATGTGCGACACCCATGAGCCCCAGGAGCGCTCGCACCCGGTCCGCGCGAGGCTCGAGCTGCACAAGTCTTGAAACTGCTGCTGCAGCTGAGGCCACGTTGAGTGCTCTTCCTGAAGGGCGAGAGGGAACTCGGGTCAAAGCTGTAGGAGCTTGGGTGATGAGACTGAGCGCCTTTGGGGTAAAGCCTTTGGTGGGTGGCATAGTGACTCCAACACGCTCGGATCTAGACCTCTTAACTAGTTTAATAGACAAATTCACAAACAGTTGCCATTCAATAGAGGCAAACGGGCAGGAATACAACTTCGTCCTCTTCGTCACCCCGAGTGAAAACTATTGGAGCTGGTGGGGCCCGGCCCCGCACGGGTCCGACCCGATGAAGAAGACACAGTTTTGGCATTGGAGAAAGGGACCTAAAGACTCGATTCCGAGCAATCTAACTAGCAATCTACATCCGAACTCAAATCTCCTGTGGTCAACCCCACCCAATGGCTCTCCCTAATGTGCACCTTACAATGACGAACACCTTCTGTGCGCGGGGTTTCAACACAAGGGTGGAGGAAACCAAGAATCAAAGCCGCTTTCCAAGGTCAAAACGGTATGTGTCAGGATTGCAGGACCCTGGTGCAGGACCCTGGTTGGGCCCCAAATAAAACAAAATGGACTGTCGGGGATGTCTAACGCTCTGGTAGAAGACTCTTATCTCCGAATGGTCGCACTGGACTCACTCGGCTGCCGCGAGCGTCGGGCAGGAAACTGTGGAGCAGTGCGCCATAAGAGGGCTCCCAAAGACCGCTCAGGATCACGAGGCGCGGCAAAATCAGGAAGAGCTCCGCATCCTGGGAATCGAAGTTGTCATAGAAACATCGGTCGACCCAAGAATGGGTGTTTTTCAGCTTATTACAAGCTAGACACACATGCACACGCGAGGGTGTGCCCAACATCGACAATATAATTGGGCTCTGTCGAGGTAGGTGAACTTAAAAACTGTTTTCCCTCCTAGCAGGTTTCTGGTTGACCATCACATGCTTACCGGGACAAAAGTGAAGCATGAAGCCATACTCAGCACAGGTTCCTGATCTTCCACCAGCTTCAGAAATCCAGCATGGGTCTCCTGTCGAGAGAGAATCAGGAGGCGTCTCTGAGAAGCCGGCCAAAGCCATGAACATGTATCATTTGTGGGGTATGTTTCTCATTGGATATTGTAACATGACGTGGCATGCTCCAACAGGCGTTTCACAACAAACAAGGAGCCCGAAAGCCATCTGTTGGCGTTGGGGGATCTGATGTTCTTATTTTGGCAAGAAGGTCTCTTGGCCCTCTTGGCCAGCGAGAAGGCTCGGAGGCCTTCCGGATCCTCTCCCGTCCTGAATCTGGGCCACCGCTGCAGCTACTGCGCAAAAGGCATTCCTGGTGTCCTTAGGCCGATGTCGTTTGACACCCACTCAAAACAACAAAGAAATACAAACAATCATATTGTTGACTATTTGGCATGCCCACCACGCGAAAGTCGACATCATCATCATCCCTATTCCCAGAAGCTGGTTCCTTCAAAAGTTGATGCCAATGTATTGGGCTTCAGTGCTCCACACCCCTCACCCACTCTCGCCCCAGTTTTCACAACTTGCCAGGCATCCAAGTGAAGAAGAAAGATCTGTCCCAGCTCCCAAGCCTCCTCCCAGGCCACCAGACACCTCTCCAACTCAGAGTTGTTGGAGAGTTGCGGATCGATCCACAACATCCGCTGCGAGGCCTTGCCGAAGCACGGCCCGGCCTTGAGGTGTTTGGGATGTGGTGGATTTTGTTGGGGGGAACGAGCCCCAAAAGAGGTGTTCCAAATGCAAGCCAGGTTTCCAATGGTTTCCCAAACGAAACGGAAAGGGATTCTACTTGTCTATCCATTTGAGGGTGTCTATCCCTATGGATCCACATACCTTCTGAGAAGGCAATTGGGCCCCCTGGCGCCGCCTGGCGCCTACATAAATAGTCTCCAATCACCTTCTGAGAAGGTAGGTGGATCCATAGGATATAAATATCACACAATCTGAATCACCTCCGGCCGTGAGCGGAGCCTCCACAAATGGACCAGTGCTCCAACTACGTGTCCACTCGTGGGGGCGACCAGGCAGGGCCGCGGTGGGCCATGAGTCGAGTCGTTTTCAGAGATCCTCGCGGAAAACGACCTGGATTCACTGCCTAGGGAGCTAGATCAGTTCACGTACTTTCGCTTGGAGTACCTTATTTATTTCCAAGCCAGGAACTAGTTAACAGTTAACCTTACAAAACAAAAACAACAAAAAACAGCCATTCGACTCAGCAAACCCCGGCGACATGATGTCGACCCACCGACCAGAAGTGGCCTTGTGGAGATAGTGCCGGAGCTCCAGAAAGCCGCTCAAGACCATCTCTGCCAATGTCTTGTGAACTTTCTGTGACTGCGAAGTCTCCTGAGCCAAGGTGAGCTCGACTGAGGAACCGAGGAGTCGGAGTCTGACTGATGCGTGAAGCACAAATGGCTTCTGGACCATTAATGGTCCAAACAACCAAACTGTGGTATACATCGGTATACCGTATACCAAGCTTAGTGAACCAATCATCTCGTTGGCGGGCGAGTCTTGCAGCGGTTCTTTGCAAAATCTGATTCGCAGCCACACCCAAAAGCGTGTCAGAACTCAACTGATAAACGTGTGAAACCTCATCTGAAACAGCCGAGCCGACACCTATCCTGTCCTGTGACGGGTAGCACCAGTTGAAAGCTGCATCACCATTCTAAAACAATGATGTTCATAAACTCAACCCAAACACCAGGAACAGGTCGCCGCTTCATTGCAGTAAGTCTTCTCTTGAAGGATGCTGGTTGTTCAAACACAAACTGGCCTAACCCTGTCCTTTGACAGGTACACATCTGCCGCCACTTCCAGGACTTCGATGCTCAAATCACCCCGGCCCTTGCCCCGCATGTTCGCGCAGCTGTTCAGGATGGCCACTTGCCTGACCAACCGTTCCTTGGACAAGCTAGAACAGTTAAATCGAACACATACACATTGAAAATCATTCTTAACCTGTGTGCAGTCTCTAGCGGCATGCTTTCCTGTGCGATAAAATGCACCCAACAAGAAACACACGCACAACTCCTCTGTGTTGGCCTTGAGAAAATGGGGGGCTCGAAACAGAGTCGCTTATATCACGTGTGCCGCAGTGAAATCCATCGACGCATAGCAAATGGGCAGTCAGCCTTCTTACTACTTGTGAACCATGCCGCATCCTCCAAACATTCGGTTGAACATGTGGTTTGAGGGGTCCTGTCGCAAACTCAAGTAAGCCCCACAAATACCGATGGCTTCTTCGGGGTCATAAACAATCACACTCTTCACATCGCCCAGTGTCCAAGCACTCTCTCTGCGTGGTGTTCTGGGACCAGCTACAGGCTGAGAGTGCCAAGTGCTGCAAATCGCTCAAGGGCACTTTTCGGCCAAGGGCACGCCAACGAGTGGGCGGAAGCTCATCAGAGAGTGTGTGATGTCCTTGTTCCAACTGACTGTCGTTTCGACTGTGTTCCGGTTCGGCAGATGTTCAACTCTCTATCTGCCTCAACCTCTCGATTCTCACACACTTTTGACTTGAGCCTTTCTGATTTCTGTACCCAAACTGCGGAAAAGCTCTTGCTAATGTGAGGAAAGTATCTGGATCTTTGAAACTCAGATGAAGAGGAGCTGCGGCGGCTCTTTGGCAAGGAAAGCTGGGAAGCAGTCTCCACATTGTCGCTGTGACCTGGTCATCTGGACGGTCATGTATTACAAGTAGCTATGCCCAAAACACAGAACACCGCGCACAAAATGCGCCCAATCAACGTCAGCATATCTTGGATGGGCAAAGGGGCCATGTGTCTAAAATGGTCAGAAGGATCCGCTGCCATCATTCATCTTCTGCAACCTTAAAGCGTACTGTATACAATCATTTGTACACTCTAGGATGTGCTTCGATCAACATCCAAATCACAGGATGATGAGTGAAGTCTCATGAATTCTCATGATATCCCCTACTTAACTTGACAAATCAAGTCGCACATATCCTAGGAATTTCCAAAAGCCTGCCTGAGTGAGTGTGACAAGTTCTATCAACCTATAAAATGCATTGTGGGACTTCTGTGAAACGTCCTGAAGTTGGTAGCGATGAGGCAAGAACTCCCCTTTCAACCAAATTTTGTCGAAATGGACTTTTGGAGACTGAGAGCATTCCAGCCGAGTCACTGTCATCATTGGCGATCTCTGCGCTTGGTGGCTCACTCTGCGTTTTGCTTGCGGGAAACTCCACGGCCTCAGCATGTGGACATGGTGCGGGTAACGACCTCAACCATCCTGTTTCATGAGGCTTCTTCAGGTCACCCAACCTGGTGATATGGCCCAACAGGGTCGGCATATCACCCAACCATGTGAGACCATACCCTCCCAATCAACCTCATGTTCCCTTCAGGCCGGCAAGAATGAAGTTCCAAACCATCCACACAACACTACCCCCACCACTGGCCCAAGCAATGCAACAAGGCCGAAAAGGTACAGTACCCTAAGAAGACCGAGTTGTGTTGAATCGCCCTGATGCAACTAATCAAAGAGCTTAACAACGGACTAGACTATCATTGTCTGCTTGCTGAATTTTCACCCGAACTGAGAGACCAACCGGCCTCCGAAGCGGAGGATTGTCATCTTTTTGGTAGTCCAGTGAAGATTTCAAACAGCTTGGACTAAACAGGAGTCCTGACAGTTTTTGGGGTCATGCAGGAACTGAACACTTCTGTGTAGATGAGCAACGTGCAATGGTTGATTCATCTTGATCCTTTTTCCATGTGTCTCCAGGTGTCCGCTGAGTTGGGCACCAAATCTCACCCAACCCAACCCTTGATTGGCTCGAAGGACAACCAGCGACTTGGAAAAAGCCGTCTCCTTGCCTTAAAAGGATTGAGCCCTTGGGCCCCATGGGGGTCCAAAACGGCCGGCAGGCATGGCACCCGTTTGATGGTCGGTGCCCCTGGCGATGGTCCGTCAGAACCCCAAAAACATGCAACCAAGACATTGAAATTCATATGTTCACACAATTCTGTTGAGGACAACCCTGACCCTGCCATTTCAATCCTCAAACCGCTAGGATTGAGAGAGCACTCAGCATCAATGGAACTCTTCTGTTAGTGACATTAACCATCCAGTCAATTGTCAATTGGAATCATCCTTGACCCCATCAGAAGAATCAACAAAGCTAGCACAAGAACCTCTTACAAAACGCCCATCGAGGCCAGTATCCATTGGTATACCATTCATCCAAGAGGCAAGAAGGTCAAACTCCAAAAAGATTGCTTCCTTCAATGGTTTTTTCGATAATTCCTCAATGTAGATGAGCTCCTGAAGTATCGCATGACAGAGTGGCCAGGCAAAGCCTTACAATCCTCTTGAGAGGTGGATCAAGAGACAAATGCCAAAATACAGTTGATGGACCACATGGAAATGAAATGATGGGGCACTGGAATCTGCTCTGGGCCGTCTTCACTCTGAGGCGGCACAGGACTTGGTCCATTCACAGTGGCATGGCTTCGACACCCACAAGGCCTTCAACATATATTCAGAACACAAACTAACATCTGGTACTGCGTAAACAGTTTGCTCCAGAGCCTCACACTCCCAAGGAACCGAATCCCTCGTTCGGCCAGCTGAAACCCCTTGTGAAGAAGAGCCATCCAACTCATTTGGCAATTATTGAGATGAACAGTTGAGGATTCGCCAACGTTTTCCGGCATGTGACCCCCACTCACGAAATTTGACCAGGTGAGGCCAGCTCGCCGTGACAATACCACTTGAGACAAGCTTCTTTGATGTAAGCTTCTTCGAACTGGACCCACATAGCTTCAAAGGCCGACAAAGAATTACGCAAGCGACTCAAGGGATAGCGCCCTGTCACGGTGGAGACGCGGCCACAGTCCGTCAGCAAGCTGCAAATGTCCAGGAAGCAGTTCCTAGGCTTAGAGAAGTCGAAGATGGGTCAGAAACGTGAGCCTTCAGCTGAGTGGATCTGGACAGGACAATCATCCATTCCTGGTCAAGCTGGATTGCACACACACACACACCACACACACACACGTATACAAGAGCCTATTACAATTATTGCAGCACCACCAATAACTCAAAGCGAGCGCACAACACAATATCCACAAAAAGCAATGACGCAGGAAGACCAGGAAGAACTCCCACTCAGTTCACTCTCAGGTGGTCATGAGGTGTACTCGATCGCCTTCCTCAACACATGAAAGACACAAAGCCCCAAAGGATCCCAAAGGCGATTTCGGTTCCACGTGTCCCACAAAGGGACAAGAAAACGGGCAAAAAAAGAGAGAGAGAGAGAGAGAAAAGCTGCCAGGCTGCTACTGCTAATCCTTACGCCGACCAAGTACCTTTCGCCGGTGCCAAGGCACTTTAACACGCGACCTTTGCCCAAAGTTGCTTCGGCCAGCTGGTGGAGATGACCGTTGACCCAAAGATCGTGCTCCTGCGATGTTAAACGGATCAACAAATCCCGAGACAGGGGAACATGACTTGGGTCAAAACAACAACCACAGGATGATGGGGTAGAATGTGGGGTCCTTGGTTCTGCACCACCCTTTGCCAGCGGCTAGTTGTCGCCAAACCCAAATAGATAGCGTGAAAGCCCAAAAAGATCTCCACAACTTACTCCACTGCTCAGTTCTTTGCCTGGTTGAGTTTGCCTGTCTTCATCATCCTCAGGTGAGCTGACCTGGACCAAAAGTAAGTTGAGATGACCCAACCACACGCTGCGTGGAGGTACGGCCCTGCTCCTGCACCAATGCCGCTGACAAGATCTCTGGGCGGTAGTACCTCAGCAAAGCAAACAAAGGGAGGACACCAGCAGCGCAGTCACACTACAACACACCAGGGGCTGCATGCTTTCAATAGTCAGATCATATGAACCCAAACCCACCACACACATCCTCAAAGACTACTTCAATCGTAAATGGGTGCCCGCAAGACACCTACAGCACTGCCCCTTCTCCACTATTGCCTATGCTCTTGTTTTAGGCCGGTTGCCATTTGCACTGGCTTATGGCTTGCTCCATTTGTACCTTGTAAATGGTTGCTAGTGTTCTGTCGCTCACCCATCTATATCTATATATATATATTATATATATCTAGAAGGGCGCAGCCAATGGCACAGCACAAACTGACTAAGAAGAGGCTCTCATCGCTCAAAAGCATGATGTAGTTCCTTGGATCGTGCACGTGGTTGGCCCCGGGCACCTAAATCAAACCCAAAGCACTTCTGGATTTGCACACAAGAATCAAATCAACCAAACATCTGGCAGGCCATTGAATTGCCTACTGGCTCCTCAACTGCCCCATGTTTCCAACGAGGCCCACCAGGCAAAACACGGAGACACCCACTTAAGAGGACATGGGCAAATCACCAACCCTCACGCTGGTCACGTTTCATGCAGGCGATGGTCCGCCTTGGATCGGAGTGATGTTCAGTTCCAAATCATCTTCACAGGAAAAACGGATGGGTTCAATCAGGGGTCCGTTCCAAGATGCAAAAAAACAGCAACAACTATACTATACTCACTAATCACTAACATCATCATCACCACACCTTGACTGCAAGAAGAAAACAATCCACCGCCAAATCGTCGCATCCGCCACATTCCGCACAATTTCCCATTCCAGAACCCCCCAAAAAACGTTCGATACCTGTTCCTTGGCACATTTCCCAGTCCGAACCCGTTTCGAACGAAGGGAGGCCAGGCCACTCGGAGAAGCCGCGCCGGTACTCGCGATCGGCCATGGGCACCGCCAGTGCCGCCGCCGCACGGCGCATGGCCGGTAGCAGCGCCACCGTGGCACCATGGGTCTGGCGTGGTGAGTTGGGACCAAGGCCCTTTGGCTTGGCGGATGGTGATGAGAATTGACAGAATAAATGAATTTTCGCCTTCCAAGCAAACAAAACGAATATGTAAAATTGTTGGTTTTCCCTCTTGTCATGTGATGTTGCCTGGGCTTTGCCAACTCGTTGGGTTTTTACCGTTCGATTCAGGTGCCCGCACGTTCATGAATTAACATGCCTGAGGGACAAAAAACAAGACACTGTAACAATGCCAGAACCCCCCAAGGGAGTATGGACTCCCTTACAGGTTAAGGGGTCTGTATTGACAACCCCTTTCTAGGCCCTAGTATTGCGCATAGCCTTTTGATGTCCACAAAAGTAATATCAAAAAAAAACACACACATATATATATATATAAATATGAAATATAAAATCATACAAGTAAAATTAATTGGTTACATGGGGTAGTGTAAGAACCCCGTGTCTTTTGCAATACCTCGAAACCATGTTATCGTTCTTTACTCTCATCGTTTTCGCAGGTGAAAGCATCGTTGGTGGAAGATCACAAATCAAAAGACGTCATTTGGTGGTCTACATGTTACTTTTCCATCCTTATCGTTTTGTTATCGTTCCGGACACCTCTGCAGGTTGCCATTTTCGTAGTTCTGTAAACAGCTGCAGCATATGGACCAAATTGCCCGCCCATTCAGTTCCTTGTAGTAAGGCCAGGAGCCCCAAAGAGCTTCTTGTTCCTGGTAGCAATGCCAGGAGCCCCTAGTAGCTGCTTGTTGGTAAGGCAAGGAGTCCCTGGTAGCTTCTTGTTCTTGTTCTTAGTAGTAAGGCCAGGAGTCCCTAGTAGCTTCTTGTTCCTAGTAGTAAGGCCAGGAGCCCCTAGTAACTAGTAGTTTTTTGTTCTGAATGTGCAGGTATAATCATTATTGTTATCGTTTTTTTACTCTTATCGTTTTCTGGGTAGGAATGCATTAGTAGTGTTAAGGTGCATGCCAATACTAAACCGCTGAGCGCGGGGTTATTACAACAGCCCGATACATGAAAGCAAAGTGTTGCTTGCCGGTTATCTTATTTATTCATGGCCACCATGTCGATGACATCACCACCACCCGTGTCGTTGGTCCCGCCTGATGGGCACGTGCCAGGTGTTGCACTGCACTGGAGTCGGCCATGGTGGCTGCACAGGATCCCATGAAAGTGATTCGACGGGTTTGGACGGAAGTATAAACGTGCTGCGGCGGCCCAGGCGGGTTTAAACAGGGGGTTCCACAGCGAAAGGATCGACTTCATGACGGACCGATTTTGGGCAAAACAGGATATCTCATCTTTGTAGGTCAGGCAAACCATTGTAGACCACATGGCTCAGATTCCCCAAAAGCACCTTCATGGCTAAACAGAACATTGGTTCAAGAACCTGTGAAATCACACCTTTGTTGAGGAACACACTGGAGTTTGCTTCTCTCCACCGGCCCTTTGGAACTTTTCGCTCGAAAGCATGCAGGTGCAAAGATCGGCATCAAGAAGAACCTCTCTGCCTGCCATTGCCTTCAGCTGGGTAGATGTTGCGGTGAGAGAGATGTGGGGGCCTCTTAGAAAAGCCCCACCTCTCTCTTCTTCTGCCCTTTCTTCCAAGCAGGAAGTTTGCCAAAGTTCTCCTTCGTCATCCCGAAGGTGTTCTCAAAGTCAGCGTCGCTCAGCATCTGTTCTCGGCTTGTGGCCTCAGCTGGCCCCCTTGAAGTCTCCAGTACCAAAAAGCAGTTCAACAAAACCCTGGACCGCACCAACACACGGCTTTGAGCTCTCCGGTCTAAATCCGCCGACCCCGGTCTAGGACCATGAACGTGAGCAAAGCCGCAAAGCGAGACCGGTGTGTGTTCCTGAGAGGGGCTCCGGTAAGCGCTGGGCGATGTCGGTCTGCCGTCACATTGCCAAAAATCTGCCGAACAATTGTCAAACATGAAAAGACCGTCAAGATTGTCAAGGTTCTCTTCCCGGAACAAAGCGCTGCCTGTGATTTGGCTCGGGCTCGGCCCTGCTGGATCCTCCTGGTCCATTTGGATTCAAGCTTGAAGCCGTGGGGGAGCGCGCGCGCACCCCCAAGAAGAGAAATCTGGGTCTCACGCGTGAGACATTGCCATCCCCTAAAATATAGTTCCTATGAACTTATCGAGCCACTGTAGCCAAACCACGGAATTTTAGAATTGTCTTTGCAGCAGGGTCCCCACAACACTGTAAAATAGCAATGTCTTTCAACCTCTGCAAGCCGAAAATCACGGGGCTTACGTGGTATTTTGCGGCACCAGGAACCCAAAGCGCTATAAATACCGGCATGTTTGAACAGCGCTAAGCCAAACAGCGCTATGTCTTAGTGTTCTGGTGCCCCACGGCACTGCTTTCGACGCAGTTTTAAGGATTTTCCTGAGTAGCCCCCTAAATAGACTATCTTCAAAAATCTGTGGAGCAGCTTTGTCAAGCTCCCAACATCGCTGGACCCCATGTAGGATGGTGTAGGGTATGTCCATCAAAGCTAAGGTCCACAATGAGAAAAACCTCACCGGCAAAGGAACACTTTGGCCCAACTCACGGCTCCCTTTCTCTTTGCCTCCTTTTCAGCTGCACTTCATCACTTGACAGTGGCCCACCTTGCCAAGTCACCTCGACTCCGCGCTCCTTCCAAATGCTGGGGTCTTGAAGCTCCTGCAGCGTCATAGGAGCTAAAACCGCCTGCGGTATACTCTCAACAGGCTCCGCTGAAACCGCCACCGGTGCGGTCGCCGGTGTGGAAGCAGCTGGGGCTTCCGGAACGGTGGCAGGGGATGGGTAGCCTTTGGATGGTGCTTCGCAGGAATCACCTGGTGCTTCAGCAGAGCCATTGCAAGTGGCACAGTAATGTTTGCCCTTGATGGCGTTGCACACCTTGCTGCGGAGCAGTGCCATTTGCGTTGAGTCGCTGGTCTTCTCCTCCATGCGCCCACAACGGGAGCACTTGAAGCCTTAGTGGTATATTACCTGCAGAAGAAACGTAACAGTTTTTGAACCTCTTGAAAGATGGAAGGTCTAGTCGAACCTTTAGGGGCCTAGGGGTGCCTGTACCAAGCCAACCATGCCCCACCAAACTACTAATGTGCATCACAAATAAAAGCAGAACTTCAGAACCAAACATCCACAAAAAGAAGCATTTCCAGTGCAGAATGCCACCATCCAGCAATTGGAATGCATCCTCCTCCTCGTCACATGTCTCACCACACACTGCGCAGGTGTTCCTCACGGTGGTCTGGTGCTCCTCACCTTTCGATCGTTCGAGCTCGGCACATCTGTCGCAGAAATACGGGCAATCCTGAGGAGTGGACACACAGCGGCACCGAGAAACAAATGTCGTCTGATTGTTGTAGGTGATCAAACATCGAGAGGCGCATTGGAACAACAAACATAAATATCATGAGAATTCAGGAGAGATGAGAGATATATGTATACAATTTTGTACATGTCAGATGTGTACTTCCATAGATCATGTTAGGTCCTTGTAGCTGAACTCTCTCAGCTCCAGGATCACATAGGCCTCCAACGGTGTTTCACACCGACTGCATTTGAAGCATTCCTCGTGGAACATGTCTCGCTTGTCCGCCAGGATCCTGGCCTCATGCTGTTGCACGGGCTTCTTGCACCCCCGGCAGATGGGCAGATCGTCCAAAGGACGCACTTCCTTGAGTGCCGCCGCGTCCTTTTCCGCGGACAGCACCTGGAGCGCACTCAGCAACTTAGTGTGCGCCCTCTCTCTCTCTCCCTCCGCTGTTTCCTCACCCAGAGGTTTCTGTCATGTTTACATTGGAGAATCCGCATTTCCAGAGAGGAACGAATGCAAATGGAAAAGGAATGTGACCACTCAGACCCACCTGATCGCGGCATTCGGTACAAGTGAGCTTGCCGTTGATGCGCGCGAAGGTTCCCGCGATTGGCTGCTGGCATGTCTCGCACTTGAAGCAAGCAGGGTGCCACACGTGTCCTTGGAAATCGCTGACTGGTGCAGTGCACCCAGATGGATCCTTCCAAAGAACATCAAACCACGTCTGCCAGCAAAATTGGTCCTTCCATTCCAACTTCCAACCCATGTAGTCATCCATCTTCTCACTTTGTTCGACTTATATGCTTAAAAATAATATATGCATCGGCCTCTTCATGAATACCCCTAATTCAGGGCCGAACCCAAATGTATAATTACAAATCACACCCTTCGGGTCCGAGCATCCTCCTGACCGGGTCTCCTTCCCTTCGATCTTCTTTCGGCACGCTTCGCAAAAGCTGTTGGGCTTGCAGTTCTCGCACCAGCGTTGGCCATCCGGCTGTTTGTGAAACTTCCCGGACAGTGGAGTTTTGCACCTCCAAGCAAAGATGGTTTATGGAAAGGACTTACTCAACATCCGGGTAATATGACATTGTTTATTGCTTGCCTACATTTGCTTGCTAGGTGTTGTTGCTCCAATTGGCACAGGATTGTTTCATCAACGCTCGTTGGCCCTCAGTTCCTACGGCGCCCTAAGTTCAATGCGGGCGGTGCTCGCTGAACTTGTGGCCCCATAAAGATCGAGGTGTTGACTACCCTCTGGTTGAACCAGCATGGAAAGGGAACAACGGCAATCAAGAAGCTTTCTTCCACTCCTGTGCTGGAGGGTTCTCAATCTCTGCTGGGAACAACCTCCTTGGCAACTTACAAGCACCTCTGACTTCTTTGCATGGAGGCTTGAGCGGTTCCCAACCATATCACCATCCAGCCTATCACAGAAAAAGCAATCTGGATGAAAGTAGGATCCTTCCGGCTGAGGTGGCATGCAACATTCGGGGAGACGGTTGGGCAGCAGAGCATCTAGGGCACCAACAGCAACAATCGAACCTGTGGTCTACTGTGGTGTCAATGGTTCCTTTTGGAGCCTTTTGCAATTATGTGCATGTTCAAGGAACTGTAGGAACAGGACTTTACCACAGTGCAACTGTTCTATTTATAGTTATATACATGTAGTTGAACATGTCTGGATTTGCTTGGCTTCGTGCCACCTACTCCGGCATCCAAACTCAAAGCATTCAATACCGAACAAACACCGAACAAACACCGAACCCCAAAGAACTCACATTGTCTGTAAATGCCAATGTCCTCAATGTGAAACTCTGACCCCATGTGGTGAGCACGGAGGCTAAAACAGCAACCCATGATTGGATCGACCAAACCGGTCAAACCCAAAAGGTGAATGTATAGAATCTTATTCATGTCAAACACTCACCTCTTCATCTGGGGTGGCTTTGTATGAATCAACCGTCTACCTCGTTCGGGGCGCAAGCAACGAAAATCAAGCGACACCGACCTCAAGCGCCGAGAACATCACCGGTCCTTCCACGCAAAGGCCCTTCCCCACGATGTCTTTGGAGCAGGTCGCACAGCGCTTCCGCTCGCTCATGGCGGACGCGTTATGCGAAGCGGAATGGGGATCACCGGTCGGAGAAACCAATTGGGTTGGTAACACTAAACCGAACGTAACGTCATCAGGATGAATGCATGTAAGCTGATGATCAAGCTAACTGGACCCATGTATAGTTTGAAGCAATCTTGACAGTTGAACTCGTGGGCCAAACATGCACTGTATAGTATCCTGAGCGGGCCTGCTTCTATATAATATAGACTCACGCTACATATTGACAATTATAAAGTAATGCAGCGATAGATAGAATCACGATGAATCACGGAATAGCTCAAAGCACAGGAGAACACAGGGAGACCTGTGAGATGGCTCGGGGAGACCTGGCACCTCGCCGCCAAGGTCACAAGGTCACTCGATCGCAAGCAGAATTCAAAGGCTTTAACATGGATAGCTCGATCGACATGCTCTGTCTGACAGTGTGTATGTTCATCTAAGCATCCCAAAGAGGTCACCAAACATATCAGTGAAACAATGCAAGATCGATCTGGATCCATCAAGGCCTGGGAGAACCCGTGTTTGCAAACAAAAAGTGCACATCTTCCAAGATTTCCCTCCCTCTCTCTCCCCGCTCTCTCTCTCTCTCTCTCTCCCTGTCTCCCGGCGGAACATCACAAAGGAACCAAAAGAGGCTTTTGGTATAGTCAGCCCGGTTGCCGTCACATCACACTTTTTTTGAGTCTGGCTCACCACATTTCGCAAGCTTACCATAGGTCTTAATTTACCTCGGAACTGCTCTCTTCCTCTTTTTCTTCTTGGTTGCCTTTGCAACCTCACCAGTGGGGAAATCAACTTTCTTTTTCTTGGCTTTAGGCCCTTTCTTCACCTTCTTCCTCAGGTCACGATTCAACTCAAACAACGTACCGGCCATGACGCAGCACTGCCGTCAATCTATAGATGGTGTGGTATAGTCAAATCTCAAGGGACCTAGAGCGTGAAGCCAACCGGGCCGCGACGCAGCTTGGTCACTCAGATGTGAGCCATCCAACCATGTGAAAGACCTGCCTTACATTAAGTCGTCTTATGCCCGACAAGTTCTCAAACCTTAATACGACCAAGCATCTTGGCACCGGACAGGGAAGTACGGTCGACCTTCTCACCATCATCTTCTTCGTCATCGATGCTGGTATGGTGCTGCATCGCACTCCGCATCTGCTTCTCCCACGCCTGTTCCAGCAAAAAACATATATGATGAAAAAGCGTCCATTTACAAAAAGGCTCTAGGCTGCCTAGGCTCCAGTTCGTGGATGTTAGTTGCTCATTTTCTCCATGCTACCATGCTACCTGATCCATCCTGATCCTATATGATCCTATGCGCCCAAACAAGTACATCAACCCCACTCCGAAAACCCAGACCTGGACTCCTGCGGACCGGATTTGTCCTGGCCTTGCTCTTCAGCATGTAGAGGCGCAAAGCAGTCTTGGCATCTTGAATTGAATCATGTGTTCCCTCCTGGTGGATGATGGTGGATGACTGGCAGATACTGGCAGCAAAAGGGCTGGCATGGCGCATTGCACAATGGACCGTACAGTCTGAAACAAGCGTCGCAGCGCAAGCATATGAGTGACACCAAGATCCCCGAAAATGATTCAACGAAAACACGTGACACCTGGACCAGGTGGTCATTGTGCTGCTCCATAGTTCGGACCTCCCTCTCCTGAATCTTCTCTTGAAGCCAATATTCCGCCAGCTTCCGCAGGGACGGGGTCTTCTTCTGCCCCGGTGGCCGCAAAGGCCGGTACACCGAAGTGTCGCGGATGAGCACATGGGGGTGTGAGAGCAGAAGGGCCTCGACGGGATGGGCTTCCTAACTGCGGGCATCTGAACGAAAACCTGGGCCTGCGACGTTTCCTCTACTGCTTTCATCTGTCGGCGTTTGTCGGTGTCTCATGGTGTCTCACTTCGGAGGATTGGATCTGCGGGGCTGGGGCCCCACCAGTCGCGCCTGGAAGTCGTTCTGCAAGGAGTGACCCACCACAATCTTACCGTCCATGGCCTTTGCGGCCAACTCCCGTGCCTGCGGGTCTCTAGGGTGATCAACTTCTCATGATGACTGAGGAAGTCGCAGCTCTGAGCAGCCTCCCAAACCCAACCAATCCTCCTTCCCATCCCTACACCCTACACCCTACACCCAAAAAGGTCAAAACAAAAACCATCAACAACCTTCAAGTACAGCGAGCCACCCTTCTGTGTGACCAACCAATCACGGAAGACGCGCCGGACGCGCCGGACGCCTCGTCCTCGGAGATGACGCCCTCCCGGAACAAGCTGCTCCCCGTGATGCCGGTGATCGGCGTCCGGAAGTCCGTGACCCGCTCCTTGGGTCTCACATACCTCGGACGCAGGGCGACAGGAGGCGACAGGGCCACAGCGCCGACGTCAAGTGGCCAAAAGAAGCAGTTGATGTCGTGTCTGGGAATGGGGGCCGGGGGTGATGTTGGCTGGTTGATGTCGGAGGTTTGGTTGGTCTGGCTTGGCTTGGGTTGGTTGGTTCGCTGGACAAAGTAAAGTTGAGGCTTCCGAATGGTCTTGCTGCACTGACAAACGCTCAATGGAGCAACTGATGCGGCGCTTCACGGAGCAGTTTCTGATCATAAAAAACACCGTCTTAAAGTATGAGTCTGAGTTTTATCATGTTTTATCCAATATTGGGATCCGTGCATGGAGTGTCTTCCTATGTTTCCTTTCGGTGGTTGATCATGGGTGTGACAACATGTCGAAGATCTTACAACATATTATGACTTATGAATATCAATATAACTCACATAAGCTCGCGACAGAATTCAGCACTTCCCGACAAGTCGTTTGTTTTGCCTCACTGCGTGGGGTGTTTTGCAGCTTGCCAGGCTTGCAGAAGAGATGCTTGTCGAGGAGCACCTTCCCTTCGGAATCCACGATCGACACCCGAGCCAGCACGGATCTGGTGCCGTTGGGGCCAACACCCACCATCTCACAATCCATGGCCACCACATTCTCTCCGATGCCAAGGACCTTCTGCCCAAGGGCCTCCTGAAATCACCACATCATTACAATGTGGTCAAGTTCAGTACTTAAGAGTGACTCAAACAAACGTGGGCATCGTGAACCCCCATGCTCAAGCATGCCCTCATATGCATCAAAGCATTTGGATGAAGCGATCTGTAACACTGTAAGTCTGTCAAACGTTTGAATTCATGTCATGTGCTCCCCACAGAGGTGAAACCATCTTCCCCCGTCAGGATGGGTCTCCTTCTTTGCCTTGGGGGCGACGTCCGGACGTCGTTGGATCAAGGTCTTCCAGTTTTGGCTCACGAAGAACTGATGCGCCGGTGGCACCGGCTTTCCCGCAGCCTTCCCGGACTCCCGCGTGGCACCGCCTGCGGCACCGCCGTGCTTCCTGGGTGGGATGCACCGGGGAACGATGGGAAGTGGCCCTGGAAGGGCCCCGGGACCTGGGTAAATGAGACTGGATCAAAAAATCCTTTGTTTAATAACATGAATATATAATATATATAATATATTGTATCATATTATATCCAACACTGGGACAGCACACCATCATCTGCATCAGCAATGCCATGCGTCTGTCGAAGCTTGGCATCTTTCTTTAAGACCTTCAGCACATTCACGTCCTTGCCATCCTTCATGCGGCAATCACTCAATGCCACATGAGGTAGGCTGGCACGCCCGCAAAGGATGACCCGAATGAACACTGGAAAAGTGCTATGCATGTTCAGGGTTGTATAGCTGGTCTGGCTTGTGCTTGCTCAAATACACTTCTGCGATCAAAATGGTCAATGACATTCAATTACCATGTTGCTTGAAGCTGCCAACAAGCGTGGCGGACTCACATCACCAACCACACATTTTGAGATCCAACATGGACTGCGAGGGCTGCACTGAACCGGCAGGTTGATAGACACAAAAACTTGGTGTCAAACCATCTGAAGCGCAGCTGGCCTGCCAGCGAAAGCGAAACAACATGTGGTCATCAGTGATGCCTTGACTTTATATATAACTGGACTTCATATGCGGCATGCTGTGATCGCAGCTGTGTAAACATGTGACACAATCTCCTCAATCCGAACCGCTAGCCGAAGCAAACAGGAGTCAAACATACGTACCCCTAACGGCCCAAAACACAAGCCAAACATTGGACCCTCCCCTGCTCACCCTTGGACAGGCCGCTTTTTTACAGGCATCGGAAGCACGCTTTAAACCTATCGGAGAAATCATGAGAAATCCAAGCCTTGAGGATCCAGTCCGCATCCCCCATGATGGACGAGATGCACCAGTGAATCGCCGGAACTGATGGGCTTTCGGAGATGGACATCTTGGTGAACATAATGGGCTCGGCGAATATGATGGGTCAACACCGAAGAGTTACCACTCAGAGGCCAAGAAAGCCATACTCTTCTGCTCTTCTGAAACTTGAGGTCAAACACGGTCAAGGTCTAGTGTGTGGCGAACTATCTCCCCAAGTCCTCCACCAAAGCACGGTATATTCAGCAGCTGGCCAATTGGTAACTCACGTACATGTCTTTTTTGCGCTGAGGATGAGCCAAAGAGGCGCGAGGTGGCCGAAAGGTTGACTTACACTCCCTGAAATAATCACACCTGGAAGTGGGAAATTAGGCCGCCCCCCCACAAAAAGCATCTCTATACAAATAGGAGGTTTTCCATGCAGGCGCCAAGCTGGATGAACACCTCCAACACACCGATAGCGAGCTATGGCTATAGGTGACTGATGGTGACTGGATCAATTGAATGGCTCGGCAGGTTCTGGGAAAGGATTGATACTTGGCCTTTTTCATGAACCCAGAGTGTAAACTAAGAGGAACTGGAGCGGCCAATCTCAGCCAGTCTAAGCCATATGGAGATTGGAGAATCACCACAGAATCCCTGGAACAGCGGGCTGGCCTCGACCTCCAGGCTGCTTGGAGACCTGTCCCAGTGAATGTCACCCAAGTCCCGAACGAGGGCGGCTTCGGGCTTCTCAGCGGCTCCAGTCTGCTCCAGTTGAGCTATGTCAAAAACCATCCGGAACTTTTGAAGATTATAAAAACCTTTTGCCAATCAATCCCTTCGCAACGCTTTCGCGGCTGCATGTTTTGATTTCGCCGACCCACTTCACCCAACAACCTCTTTTGCTAACCCTTTCGCCGAGTAAGAGTATCAGCAAAGGGGAATCATTCCTAATCTGCAACCACTGCTTTCGCCACATCTTCGCGAACCTTTCGGCAACCTTTCGCCTGGTTATCAGGAATCTTTGGGGCTTTAGAACAACCATTTAGATGACATGATTTGTACTGAAAACCTCTTTCACCAACCCTTTCGCAACAAAATCAATTCATCAAAACATTCAGTGCCTTTCCCCAAACCTTTCGGAAGCTTTCCCCAACTGCAGTTTTCCATTCGCAAAGATTCATATTCCTGCCTAAAATTATTTATAGAGTCTAGAGGTTGATGACGCTGCTCAGTTGAGAGGCAAACATCTCAGGCGCGCGCTCCCAAATATCTCGCATGATCCGCAAAGAACGCCACCTGTTTTCAAAGGTCGGACCGGCTGCTCAATATGGAGCCATGGAGCTTCCATGTTGGGAAAACTGATGTAGCAAAGTCATCGAAGATATTCGAAGATGGTGGAGCATCCATGTTTCAAGCAGAAAAAAAACAGCACCACAGGCATCACATCACCAAGGGTCATCGCCATGATTCTACCCTCCACGAGTCTGTTTCCACCACTGAGTACCACAACCATCATCGCTGGTCCGACAAGTGAGGTGACCGGCGCCACTGCGCGTCTTTAAAGAACGACCGAAATCTGGGACGAGTTGGACCGATCGTCTTGGCGGCTCGTGGATCGTCTGTCAAACCCAAAATAGCAGCCAAGTCACCATGAGCTATGCGGAATTGCCGTGTGGTCCTCGATGCGGCCGCGATCTTCAAGCGTCCCCTCTTCCGGGCAAAAAACAATGAAAGATACAAAGCATATGAAATTTCAATACATCGTGCACATTCCATGAAGTCTCTTGTGGGCCTTGGGGAGGTCTAAGAGTCTAATCCTCGCCCCATGGCAGGTTTCTCTTATATAAAGTTGCCTTTTCCCACAACCAATATTGAAATTCTATATACATCTGCAAATTGACAAGTAAGTGTCGGGTGAAACCTTCCGTTCCTGTCCTCCTGGCCGTGCATCTGGACCGTCAAACCCAGCAAGTGGGTGAACCTGAATCGCTCCCGATCTCCGGACTCCCGATCTCCGCCCTCTTCCGATTTCCCTGCTCAGAATCAATCCAACATCCATGGCTTGCAGGATCCAACACCACCTTTCCAAAGACGTCAACACCATCGCAAAGTCATCGGTCTTTGAGACCCTGACCGTGGCGCTGCCCGTAGGCCCGCAATCTCTGGTAGGCCTCACTCCAAAAAAAAGCAGTGACAAGGCTCCCGGCCAACAACGGTCCAAAGGTCCATATTGAAACAAGGACGAACGCTCAGCAAGCTCGGTGACCTTATATATGATATACATATATAGAGAGAGAGAGAGAGACAGCAACAGTAACACTCAACAAAAGCCAAAGGCATTACCATGAAACCCTTCTACCCTTCTATCAAGATCAACCCAACATCTAATTCAACATCACCTCGCAAGTCGCCAGTGCTTCAAGGAATAGAACTTCCCCCAGTTCAAATCACCCTCACCAAAACACATCCCAACAGCCCAAGAGTACCAAAAAAACACACATCTCACATCTCCCACCATCATCTGCTGCAAATGTCTGATCAGCCCACCACCTCACAGACTCCCTTCCACTCCCTTCCATCGCTTCCAACTCGTTTCACCCGGTCACCGCTGCTTGGGCCCGGTCACCGCTGCTTACCCTCTCGGCTCCCAAACTTGGCAGCTTCCGCAGCGCCTCAGCGGCCTCAGGTCTCAAGACCCGGAGCCGCCAGCGCTGCTGAGCCTCTCAGAGTCGACTCAGTGGACCCGGTGGGCTACTAGTAACAAGTGCCACGCTAGTAGTAACAGGTGCCTTACTGGTAGTAACAAAAAGCTATTAGAATTAGACTAAAATTAAGTTAATAGCTTCTTGTTACTACTAGTAAGGCACCTGTTACTACTAGTAAGGCACTTGTTTCTGCTGAGCCTCTCAGAGTCGACTCAGTGGACCCGGTGGGGAGTCCACTGAGTCGACCGGAGCGAGTCTCGGACGCGACGAGCTCCGGGGCTCCTGGCTTTAGGAGCCGAACGGAAGGCCATGCATCGCTACTTACGTAGCCAAGGGCATCGCTGTTAGTAGTACTTTCCTAGTTAGTAGCAACTAAACATGAGCCGTTTGCACCGGTGTTTCCCGGGCTTTCTTTCTCGTGCACCGGGCTCAGGTGGATGTGAGGCTCGACTCGTTCCTGACGGACCTCTTCGACGGTGTCGGGCAAATCCCAAGCCTCGCTGCGACAAACATCAACTTGTGCTTACCAGAGGTACACACATTGCTGAATTAACAATAAGTGGAAAAGGTTCGTGTTGTCAGATCGTGTTGTCCGGCATTCCAGCAAGGCTTGCCTTCGCCTTCAATGATCATTTATATATATATATATATATTTATATAACAAAGCGAAGCTGATGCACTACCCAAAAAAGCGACGAGGAACTCTGTCGTAAAGGCCAACGGTGCTGAAATTCTTGTGGAAATATCTATGAATATCCGATATCTACCTAGCTGACTACCTAGCTGACTCTGAGTCAACCAAACTAGCCATGTCAGAAACCAACATCAAACATATCTGGACCAGCCAATGGGTGTCCAATGGAGATCCTTGATAGGTAGGGGTTGGTAGCCCATTGGACACCGATTGGATGGTCCTGGTATATTCACTCCCCCTTCTGTTCAAACAACGTCCAGTGGTTCAGACTTTGTAGCATGTTGAGTTAGGGCTCTCTACGACACCTGAGGGCACCGCGGTCGAACCCTGCTCCGTGAAGATGGCACCAAAGTCGCTCGCGCAAAGGATGAAGGATCCTGCAAATGAAAAAACAAGAAGATCGCCCCTTACAGAAAAGGACTGATGCTCCAGCATGCTCCAACACTACAGATCCCAGATTCTGTGAGGTTGTCGGCCACACATTAAAAGTACATCCTTGGTCCATCAGATTGACCACTCAACAGCCATCACCTGGCTGCCACTCCTCCAGTGCTCATGCAAGGCCAACATGGCGCATGGCGCGCTAGGTCGGCTCGATCCTGCGGTCTCAGCCAGGTGACCAAACCAGAGCTACAGAACTAGCGATGGTGCAGGGGGGGCCAGCACTTCAAAGCCGGGCGGACGAATGGATTGTGTGCCGTCCGCCCGAAGTGACTACATTAGGTATTATGTATCAATGGTTCATGATGTATTTAAACATATTCTGACTAGATCCTGGGGTGCTTGACATCTGCGAGTGCAGAAGCCTGCTTGGACATTTCTTGAGGGGAGGGATCGGTGCACCCCATGTTCAATATATATATATATATGAATGCTGGGTGAAGGCACCAAAAGGCGCATCCAACTCCTGGATGTTCCAATTGTCCACACCCTTCCGCCCAGAAAAGTGGCCTGGGCGGTGGCCAGGTCGCACCGAGGCTCACTCAAAAGCTCCTGCAGGAGCGACAAAGCCATGAAGAGCCACTCGAGAGTGGCCGGTCTTCGAATTGTCCGAACGCCACATCTCCGAAACCAACAGCTCTAGAATAGTCTGCAAAGTCTAGGGTTGCCCTACCACCCTCCCAGCTCCGGGTGCCGCAGCCCCACCAGACCTCGAAAGCACGGTAGATCTGCGTCAATCTCTCCACCTCAAACACTAAAGGCTTTGGCGAAGCAAAGATGCATCCATATTATGGACCTGATGCATATTAGCTGAAGCTGTTAGTTATGTCTCATAGGCATGTTGTGGACATAGTGATACATATCATATAGGTTGGGGATCGGCTTCGGTATCTCAAAAAAACACGTTCGATGGAAATATGTTGTCATGAATGCATGGACAATCTTGTGTCGTGCAAACCTAGTCGAAACCTAGACTTCCACGAGGTAATTATAGTTATCTGTTTTGTTGGATATATGCAGTATCTTGTTGGGTTACAGCTTTTCAGTGCCTCAAAGATCTCCAAAGAAACATGCTAGGACTACTGTAGGTCTGCAAAAATGATTGTTGAGGCCAGGCCTGTGCCGAGAAGGGTTGAAGTACTTACTGAACATACCATGACTGAAGGTATTGAAATGGCATGATGTTCAGGAAACAGAACGCCTGAAATCCAGTCTAGGACCACCAAAGCACACTGTGCAAAACAGCTTCCAGGTGCCATCACAGTTTTGTTTAATCATGCAGTTCTAAGCGTGGGGGGGGCCCAATCAAGCACAGTTGACACCATGACGACTGGCTTGACATCCACACCAGCATCGACCGCAAATGAGCCCTGACTTTCGTTTTGCGTCTGGAGATAAGAAGATGGAGGTCCAGCCGATGCGATCAGGGCCTCTAAGAGAAGCAACACGTCCTGAAAATGTTTCTGGATGGGCAGGGACAAATGCCCGGACCCGTTCTCGCTTACTGACTCTTACTGAAGCTGTCACTCTTACTCCGATCTAAAGGTTCCTCCTTCCGCCTCACCACCTCTCTTGGTGCCCAGACTCTGTCAGCATAGCTTTGCAAGGCCAGGGCCGCCTGCAATGGCTTCATGCACAAAACGTCACAAAACGGAAGCCAAGCTGTGCAAAACGAACATCCTATACACTTTGCAGGAGCGAAACCACTGGGTGGAATGGCAAAAGGAATGCTATTATTCAAAAGGATTCAGAAGACGGTGAATGAATCATTCAGTTGCATGGTGAGTGGCAACTTGGCAACAACACAATATTTTATCCCTTGTGTTAAATAGCCGTTTCATGCCCGTTTCCCAAATCGAAATATCATACCTCCAATACATGGGCATGGGTCTCCTCCTACATCTTTCTCAAATCCTTCTGCATCAGGAGGCGCCTAGCTGCGATGATTTTCCTCCTGAAGCCTTCCCACCTGCCTCGACGAGACTGGGCAAACACCTGCGGGGCCAGCTCCGCTGCGGCCCAAACGGGGCGACACTCGATGACGGGCATCACCTTGAACCTCCAACTTGATGCTGGCCACATCGGGTAAGGGCGACAATCAGCCAGGCCCGACCTGGCAAAGTGGCTGGCAGCGAAGCACTCCAGCTGCACTCCTTGCGGCAAAGGCTCTCGGACAAAGCACCTGGCGACATGATCAGCTTTCTTGCAGCATAGCCAACATACAAGCATTCAATACACTGATACACCCTTGGCCAAGTCACGGAAGTGAAACAACCGGGCACCGCCCCTTTTCCTTACTGATGCCTTGGTTCCTATCAATCGCGCTCCCTCCTTCTGGAGCGGGACCTGTCGCGGTTTTGCCCATCGCCACCCTTCTCCTTTGCTTCCTTCGCAGCTCGCTCCATATCCTGCTTCTCCGCGGGTGTGGGGCCCAAAGGCGAATAGCTGCGAGCGGAGAAGCTGCCCCGCTCAATTTCACGGAGCTTCAGCTGCACGGCCCCCCTGGGATGCTTGGCAGCTCGCATCACATCATTCAAGGTCCGCATATCTTCCTTGAAGGTCGAAGCCCGCGATCTCATGGCGTTGATGAGTCGACTTCGGACGTTCTCCTCGAGCTTGAAGCGCGTGCAGGTTGCATCCACCTCTTCCATCATCCAATTTTCACTCAAGGGAGCCACGCTGCTTCGTGCCTCACCCTTCCCGCCTCGGGGAGCCTCCTTCTTTCCTTCAACCTTGGGAGCGGCGTCCCGAGCGTCCCGAGCATCCGGACGCTCCGGCGAGTCGTCCCGTCCGTCTCCCTTCTTGCCCGTGAGCAGGAAGCGGAAGTCTTCATCCGTGCTCTTCTCACTCACCTCCCCGAAGACCACCAGCAAATAGCCGGAACGACACGCCGGAGGCACGGCAGCTTGTTGGAGCTCTCGGTCCAATTTCTCCATCTCCTGCTGGAGGGGACCCGCGCCATTTCGCTTGAGATAGGCCACCAGCTTTGGTTCAAAGCGGTTCTCAAGGTCCCAGCGTTGCATGAAGTTTTGGACTTCTTTGAGAAATGGATCTGAGTCGCTTGACACCATTGGCGTCGGTGCGGAGGCCTGGCCACCTGAACCCAAGCTGGAGCCCATCGTCGGAGCTACAGGGCCTGGCCCTGTTGGACCCACTGGTGCTGCTGGACCCACTGGCCCTGCTGGCCCCACTGGCCCTGCTGGCCCCACTGGCCCCGGACCCTTGCCTGCAAAGCCTGGTGCGGCCTGTTTGAGCAATCTGGGAAGCACTCCTTTGGCAGCCAAGAGCTGCAAGCCCTTGGCGATCAACGCACCTTTTCCACCTGAGAGGATACCTGCCAAATCGGGTGCAGCACTGCTTGGTTGGAGGAACTGCGTCTGTGGAAGGGTGGCCTGCGCAGTGGGAGCGCCCAACGTGCCACCCAAGGAGGCGCCACAGGCCAGCGCGCCACAGCCAGGTATGCCTGGAGGCGGGGCGAAGGTCAAGGGGCCTGGACCGGTGCCGTTGGCTTTCGTTTGGCACGCGGCCTCGCAGGCCTCTGCCTCGCCAAACGTCTGGTACTTGGTGTGGCAGTACTCGCAGGCATAGGTCACGTCCTCACCATCCCATCCATCGGTCATGGGCGTCTAAGGTCGCGACATGGAGCAACGGAGCTTTGGGCGAACGGAGACCGGTGCTCACACGAAAGCTGAGCTGATGTTTGTTCGGATGCTATGTTGTTCTTTTGTGTCCGGTGTCCGTCCGTAACTCCCCGTGCTACATTCTTATAAATGAATACCACTTTTGAACTTATGTCTGAGATATAGAATACAAGATCTTCAAAGTATATATGCTATAGTACCAAGCTGGTGCACCTCTCTGGCCTCCTCATTTGGTTTTACGGCCGGATTCACTCCACAGGCCCCGGTCCTTGAACCAAGAAAGCCAAACGCAAACACAAGGACATCAACGCCAGGGTGTCTCCATGTGACATGATGGTCAAGACTCTGCAGGGGGTGTCCAAGTCCTGTGGTGAATCCCTGGAAGGTGCTGGCAAATCATGGCTGTGGGTCAAACAAAACCTTAGCCCAGAAGCCATGATACGGTTAGTCCATTCTGCTTTCCTTACTGTTTCTATATGTCTGGTAGTCCATCCCGTTTGGTTTGGGGTGTCAACAAGGGCCCTTTTTCTTGACAAGCGCGATGACGTTGACCACAAGTGTGGGTGTATATACCATACACTCAGTCCCCTGTGTGAAAATTCATGGAAATTCCATTTGCATGCATCACTTTTTGACCTCAATACGCTGACACTCTCAGTATGTCAATGCACCCCACTGGAATCCCCAACCAAATAACCCAAACAAATCCAAATGAGTTGATGGCCCCTCATCGTCCCCACTCGTGCGGCGGGAGACGCCTCTGGACAGACTTTTCCAGCAATGCTGAGGAGACCAATGCGGCCGCAGTCTGCAATCGAAGAACTGACGTTACACACATGAGTGAAAGTCCTCATGTTCCATGTCTTTTGTGCAGCCCGCACTATGAACGCAGGCTTCAGGAAGTTTTAGGAAGTCCTCAGTCCTCGCTTTTTGATTTCCCACTTCCAATCCCACTCGCATGCATCTGTATCACTGTAATTTCCCAATTGCTGATGGCCCTAGGCAGAAACCTCCCCTATTAAACAACCCCAGCTACCCCAGAAAAACATATAGTTTAGTATTGCATATATTTATTAGTTTCTTTGTTTGCTAGTATTCAATATCTTCATCTCCTCATCTGCCTGATTCTCACCACCTCTCAGCTGCCTCATCCTGCGAAGCCAATCCTTTTGATGGCTTCGAAATGGCACAGAAACCCATCAACCATCATCCATCAGGTCCAGGTCCTCATCTCATCCATCATCAGGTCATCATCTGTATTAAGGGGATGTGGTCATCAAATACCTCCGATCTCAGACCTTGTTGACCTTGAAGGGGTGGGGGCTGACACATTGACATTCACCAGTCCCCGTGGCACTTGTCCATGGACCTGCTGTCCATATGCACTCGTGAAGGGGGGTGCTTGTCAACAGCCTATAACTATAACTCGCTGGTTGTTCAAGGCTGCTTCGGGTGGCGGACGAAAACCCACCTACCTTCTCGACTGCTGTCGGTGGAGGACGTCTGAGCGCTTGCCTCGAAGGTGATGGTGTGACAGGCTGGGATATTGATTGAGAATTACTCAGATTGCTTCATTGCTTTGGACAAGTGCGGCCTCAGCGTGGACATCTTGCCACCGAAAACTGGCCGCAAGGTGCCGCAAGTTGAACGAAATACTTCTTGCGTGCTTTCTCTCACAAACGGAACCCTCCAAAGCACCAACCCACCACACCAACCGCACAAAACCGATGGACCCAACTCCGGCCAAGAAGCTGAGGCCATTATACTAATTATGGCGCATATAATGAACCACTCCAGAACACACCCCGGCTGCCATCGATAGCGTTCGTCTCTGAGCCTCCGTGCGTGGCGGGCACCAAACGCGTGGGTTCAGCTCTGTCAGGGTCCTGCCGACTCGGTGAAAGCAGGACTCGATGCCGATACTTAGCTTTTTGCTTTAACCTACAAAACGTTGTTGCTGCCCTACATTTTTTTAAATGTTGTTTAGGTGTTTGTTTTTAGTTCTTGTTTATTAAAAAACGTTGAAAGCCTCAGCCTCAACCTCTTGGCCTCAAATGGACACGGTATACCGATTCCATGCTAGCTGTTTGATCCAAGAAAGCATGTGGCACAGTGCACAGATCATCGCACTCTCAAAACCAAAGGCAAACATGCTTGCTCGCTGAGATTGCTTTTCTTCATGCCGTTCCCACCATGCTTCGGCGGCTTCGGGGGTCCTCTTCCACAGCGAGACATGGAACGTCTGCATGCATGAGCGCATGGATGAACCTGCCACGGGAAGTTTCAAGAAACACACCCAATGATTGCATGTTGGTCAGCCCTGGTAACTGCTGCACTTTTCCTGGTGCGCATGGTTTATGCTTGGAGCAACCTGTGATTGGAACAGTGACATCATGTGACATCTAATAGTAGAGTGGAACGCGTGGAAATCGAACGTTTAGGACCGATCTGATTTGCAGGTATCTGATACAATATGGCATCTGCAGGTATCTGGAAAAGCTGCACATCGATTCATAGTTCTTTTGCTTTCGTGCGTCGTTGTTTTCTGCGTGTTCAGTGTATCGGCGTCGGTGTTTTTCATCTGCCTCTCCCGCACCTTGCGCCAAAATCCTTGCAACATTGGCGTCTACTACTTGCTGCTCATGGAACGGACTGCTGGACTTGGTTAGATTGAGACTGAGATAATATATTGAGACATATTGAGCATTATTGAGCACATGCTTTCAAAAAGGCTAGACTTTGACTTTGCAAATTGCACCTAAAGAGCGCCATCTCGCAAGTCATTTGCTCGGTCCAGGTCCAGGATATCCACCTTCCATTTGGTCAGAGTGAGTCAGCGAGTGCTCTGGCTCCACTCAGTTCTGAGCTTGACAAAGGAGGTCGATCGCCCAGGTAGTCCACCGGGGATGCCGGCCACCTGGGAAACAAGGGGTGTTTAAAGAAACAGCAAAGGGGTACGACATCGGCCACCACAAAACTTGTTTTTCAATCCGCCACAAAGAGAACAATATAGTTTCGTAAGATATACCGATATAACCTATCTTTCTTCATTAGGTGTGACGGCTCATGGTAGGAGCCGACATGAGCGATCCTGGTTGAGCTTTGTCCACGTTGTCCCTTCCTTTCCCTTCACCAAAGCACCCGCATTCCGACGATCTTCAGGGATTCAGCCCATGCTTCTTGGCGATTTGAGGCTACAATTTCGGTCCATAGATCTGAATAGACCACCCATTAAGCACCTGTTGGCGTATCCTGCAGTTCTGACAGCGAAATGACTTGGCACATCTTGGCACCCAGCAACTGCACACCCAGCTCTAAAGCCACTTCGGCAAAGGCCTGCCGAACCAGGCGCAGTGTTTTTGTCTTGAACCGATAAGGGCCGCAGAGCCGCAAAACCGCTGGGATTCCTTTCCCAGCCTGTCCCCCTGCCCCTTACTGGTTGAAGTCACTTCCAAAAACATTCCGCATCTCTTGGCCTCCCACCACAAACACATGAGTTTGGGGGTCCGAGGTCAACTGGGGATAGAACCAAAACCTGAGAAGTTCCACACGTGGCCACAAGCTGTTCTGCATGCCAGTAAGGTCAAGAGGTGCTTGCAATATGTCGTAATTATGTTATACAATGTTATACAGTATGGTATTGCTGGGGGCTATTCGCTGTATACTCGTGGGAGTTGCATGGTATGTGCATTGGGTAGTGGTGCAGAACGAACCACTGCTGCGGCAGGAGGTGTGTCCAAGGAAAAACAGTGCGCCACAGGGCATCTTCTTGGTTAACTGCCTTGGCTGTCACCCTACTAGTCACAGATACTGAGCCACTGCAGGGCACCAGCGGCACCGGGATTCGTCCCAGCCGACGGCGTTCCTGCGCCGCTTCCTCCGCCAGCCGCTCGTTGTGGCCGTTCTCGTGAACCCCATCGCGTGAGGCCTCAGCTTCTGAAGCGGAAGGAAACGGCCGAAAGGGAAACGTGGAGGCATGTCAGGAAAGAACCCCTTAATTACTGTGCTGCTGGTGTTTATTTGCTGTCTTTCTCTTGAGCCATGACGAGGGAAATGAACACTTCAATAAAAGTGCACTAAATGGTGCGGTTGTTGATGGTTGTTGGCTCCACTTTGAACAGTCAGGTGGCCCCCCTTTCAGCAGGCCGCTCAGGCTTTAGCCGAGACATCCCAATCGGCCTGGGCGGTCGCGCGGGAAAACCATGAGCACCGATAGTTGGATGGCTTCGTCATTCATCCTTCAACTGCATGCCCACAAACACCAGGACGTGCAAGGAAAATGGCGCTCTAGAACCGGACTGCAAATGCCCTGAAGTGCCCGTGGTGTGGAGAATTGATCAAAGTGTGATTGCTGAATGGGCTAAGAGGTGTTGTGGGAAGCCCTGTGTTCCTATGCCGGGAAAAGTCTTGAAGTTAAGCTTAGCTGGGCAAAATGCTGGCCATGATCATGGTCTTGGGCCCTACCCTTCCTGAAAGGCGAACTGCACATCACCAAGCCTCAATTGGTGTAGTATCACCAACCGGTTTCGACCTCCACACCGTCGCTTTTCTGCGCCCAACCGTCGCGAGCATTCGCTGCGTCCGAGTCGCATTGATGCAAAGGTTCAAGCCGCTGTGGCAAAGCCTCTAGTGCTGCAGGATGGTGGGAGGCTCCCTTGGCGAAATAAAATATGTATAGGCTGAGAGGGAATTCCAGCATTGATTCTATTTGTGAGACCAACCGCATTCTATAGCCATGTAATTGCTTGGGGTTGACTGTAAGTAGCTGACGGTAAGTCATCAAGTGAGTACACAAGCTCGCAGGTCTTCGATGCTCCAGATGCGAAGCTGGTCTTTCGGGGGTGAGTGTGTCGCCCAGCTTTTGGTTCCCAACGGCAACCATACAACCAAGGAACCAAAAATAGAAAAAGGGAAGGCAAAAGCAAATGATCATGCAACAAACATCTAATATTGGTGGTAATTGTGTTGTGTGTGTTTTTTCCCCCGTTGTTTTCTTTTTTATGTTGCTCATTTTGCTTTTGTTCCTGCTTTTTCCTAGGGCCGTCCAGCTAA